CCATAGCACAAGCTTAGCCACTGCCATCTGGTTTGTCGTCAGAGTGCCAGTCTTATCTGAGCAAATCACTGTTGTGCAACCAAGTGTTTCAACACTAGGCAACTTGCGAACAAGTGCATTCTTAGCAGCCATCTTACGTGTGCCAAGTGCCAAGCAAGTCGTAATAACTGCAGGCAAACCTTCGGGAATAGCAGCAACTGCCAGTGCAACAGCAATCTCAAAGTAGTAAGTGCACTTCTCAAACGAGAACTTGAAATTCCTCGGCCATCCGTCGACAATATCCCACGTAAGAAAATACTTCACATTAATTACCCACACCAAAAAGCAGATGACTAGAATTATGACAGTTAAAGCCTCCCCAAACTCATTCAACTTCTTCTTCAAAGGGGTATCGTCCTCGCTCTCTGCCGCCTCTTGAATCTGTGCATGCACCTTCCCTATCTCTGTATTCATCCCAATCTGAGTTACCAAACAAATACAATTCCCGTTCACCACTGTCGTTCCAGCAAACACCACACACTTCTTCCCCTGAATATCAACATCCGCTGCAACAGCCTTAGTAGTCTTGCTAACTGCCTCACTCTCCCCAGTCAACGACCCCTGTTCAACCCGAAGAGTCGAGCTGATCAAGCTCAAAACCCTCATATCTGCAGGAATTTTATCCCCAACTCTCAACTCCACAATATCTCCCGGAACAAGCTCTTTCGCGGGCAAATGTGAAATCTTTTTACCATCGCGAATAACAGATGCATGCTCTGACTGGATTTCCTTCAATGCATCGAGTGCTTTCTCCGCATTGTTCTCCTGCCAAACCCCAACAATGGCATTCACAATCAATATCAAGAATATAACCAACGGCTCGACAAACGCTGTAATCTCCATCTCCCCACCTTCATTCCCGTCGAACAATGCCAACACAAAGGAAACCACTGCTGCCACCAGTAAAATCCTGACCAATGTATCATTAAACTGGTCAAGAACCAACCTGAAAATCGAAGGACCATCATGTTTTTCCAATTCATTGAACCCATAGATCTCCCTTCTTTTCTCGACATCACCACCCGACAATCCATGCTCTCTGCTCACCTCGTATTTCTCCTCACACTCCCTCGCATCTATCGACCACGCCGCAAAGCTATCTCCATCCATCTCCTTACTAGAACCCGAATTCTCACTCTTCCCATAATCCTCCCCTCCTTTTCCCATCAATAACCGAAATCACAAAAAAATCACCAAGCCACCAAATCCAACAAAACTTAACCCTAGAAAACGAAAAAACAAGTCAATGCATAAACACCAAAAAAATTAGAAAAACACCTTCCATCACTAAATTAAATTCTCAACTAAACGATCTACAGTGCATCAATTAAAAAAAATTAAAACTGAAATACGAATAACCAAAGCGATTATCGTCGACTCACCACCTCCAATTGTGCTCGGTGGCTCCCCGATCAATTGAGAGAACTGTATATCTATCTACGCAATAACGTATAGGTCAAGCGTTGGAGAATCCACCGGAAATTGAGGAGTGAGAAAATAAATAGTGCCAGGGTTTGAAAATCTCTCTCCCTCTCTCTCTAGAAACTGTAGATGGTGTGATTGTTACTTATTGGAGACTGTGTTTGTGTGTGTGTGTGTTTGTGTGTGAGAGAGAGACAGAAAGGCAGGGAACCGTTCTCCTTGTTATACTACGACATGGTATATATATATATATAGGGTAAATTACAAACACCCCCCTGAGGTATGATCAAATTACAAAAATCCTCATCTTGTTTGGATAATTACATCCACCCCCCTCAACTATGATTTTTTCTTACACCTCCACCCTTATTGTGCCAAATTCAATACAATCATCTAGATTCCGTGGAATGTGCTCTAGTTTGTATTCGTTTTGCGTAAAAATACAATTTTCGATGCACTACAAACTGATATACACAAGCTAAAAATCACATATTATGATCATCTTACTTCATATTGTAGAGTTTGAATGGTATAAAACGGGTACAAAAGTGATAATATTTCATATAATCTCGACGATTCCACTAAATTTGAAGAGCTGAGGGGGTGGTTGTAATTATCTAAACAAGAGGGGTGTATATGTAATTTGACCATACCTCAGGGGGTGTATGTAATTTACCCTATATAAATATATATTAAAAAAAAAACACCACAGTAAATGCGCTCCCTCCTTTGTTAGCTTCTCCGTACCTTCTCCTCCAATCTTTTGCTTTTACTTTTTGATATTTATTTTATTTTTTATTTTTTTATTTTTTAAAATTAGTTTCTCTCTCTCCACTCTTCCTACAAATCTACAAGAGCACATAACTCAGCAAATGGCCAAATTGCCCCTCGCCTCAATTGGGTCATAAACTACTAGGCTAGCTATGTCGAAATGACAAAATTGCCCCTAGCCTTAATTGGGTCATAAACTACTAGGCTATATGTTTAGGTCCGTTTTAGGAATTTTTTTCTTTTATTTTTAGTATATTTGGAAGAAATTTGAGATAAAAACTAATTTTTTTTTTTGTTTTAAGAGAAAAATAATTTACAATATAGGAATCAAATCACGTCACAAATGTTTGGAGAAAAGGTGTTTTAAAAAATAAATTTTAAAATAGACCGACGTTTATTTATTTTTATTACTTATCATGTATTAATAACGCACAAATTTTTTGAATCTTTTAATTCCGTATGTTTTTCGAGTCAAGTTTAAAAAACGTAACTATGGCATCTTTATTTTGGGGGAAGCGAGAATCTCGATATCGAGCCGAACATTAGATTTTTATTTTTGATTTTCTTTTAACTATGCACCTGTTAAAAATAGCTTATAAAATGTTTAAGAGTTTATAATCTCTTCCGAAGTGTTTGATATTTTTTTTCAAAGATCTTAAATTTTTTTTAAATAAATTGCTATAGAGCTTTTAAGATATTTTTAAAATAATACATTTAGCCCATATTTTTAATTAAGATCTTACAATTAATAGAAATAACTTACAATGTCATTATTCAAACACTTTAGTAATTAATTTTAAAAATAAAACGTAATATTTAATTATTTATTACTCTTAAGATAATTTATCAAACCTAATAGTTTCCCAATTATTTAAAATAAGTCCAGCCAAAAGTCTTTTTTTTTTTTATTCTTTTTGATGAGTCAGACCAAAAGTCTTAAATAAATAGTAAAATTGACGAGGGGTAATATTGGGATTTCAGCCAACAGAGATGTGCGCCTCACAATTTACGGAGTTGGTGGGCCATTGCCCCTTCCAAAAGTTTTGGCCGTCTCAGAACATTTCTCTCGTGTAGATCGTGTTCCCACTTGACTACAGCCAATAATCAAACGACACGTCGGGATGCGTGAGTCAACTTTCGTCGGGTAGTCTACGTGGCAACGCCTCATTGGCCGAGACAAATAGGCACGGCGCCTACAGCAGTTGGCAGGGAATCAATTGCCCCTTCAATAAATTAGATTCCCGTGAATTAAATAGAGGCGCAAGGAAACTTCGAGGTTATTGCCCAAATGTCAAGAAAGTGAAACATTACGCAACGGTGACGTTTCGTGTGCAAAGAATATTCCTTCGTCAATTCTTTTTTTTTTTTTTTTTTTGGGGTCGAATTTTAATATTAACTAACTCTTCATATTAAAGCCTATGGGCCCATGTATTCTTTTTTAGCATTAGGACTGGGCCCACTTAGAGATCCTTGTGTTCAATTCCAAGCCCATTTTCAGAATAATACAGTACAACAAAAACCCAATTATTTTATCGGAATAACCCAATTATTTTAGACCTCGTTTGGTTGCCAAGATAAGATTAACTAATATAATGAGATTCCAACTATTTTATCGAAAAACGTTCCAAATTCCTTAACAATGTCGAAACGCCGGGACAATGCAATAAATCGGACGGTCGCGGCTGTCATGCGTACTGGAACGGGATTGGAACGACATGAATCATCTAATTTACTTCACCAGCTCTCCAACGATGATTTAAACATCTCAAAATAGGGTTTTAAATGTTAATTTTTTTTTTTTTTTTGTTTAAATTACAATTAGCTCTAACACTTTAAACGTAGTTTGATTTGGTGCTAGAGAACGACATGTCAGGATTATCAATCAATTTTTTAAGCTTTTTCAAAATTTCCAATCCAGTCCGAATTATTTTTTTAGTTTCTTCTAAAGTAAAGAGATAATCATAACTTACAATTTCACCCTTAATTATACTTCTGAAAATTTAAAGAATTGTTGCAAAATTAAAATTAGAATATTAATGATAGTTTGTATTTTATTCTTCTGTAATATTAGTATTTAAAAATAATTCTAATTTTTGGCATTTTAATTATAATTTATTCAATTTAGTTGAGTAAATTGAATAAAAATGGGATTTAAAAAGGTATAAAATGTAGAATTTTAAAGGAAATAATAAGATCTCGAAAAATAAAAAATCTAAATAAACTAAATTTACAGGTCATTTACCTTTTTCAAACTCATCACAGGTGGATTAATTTAATTCGTCAGACGATGTACGCATTTGTCATCCCTGGGGGCAATTTTGTCTTATCCCATCAACCAGTGTTTATTAAAGAGTGCAGAAGATATCGTAAAATTAAAAAAAAAAAAAAAAAAAAAAAAAGTAAATATACTGGGACGAATTTGCTTTATTGTACCTTGTCGTTTAGATCTAGGCTTTTTCTCCGATTCCCTGACACACACGAAACCCTTGCATTATTCGTCTGGTAATCCCCAATTATTTTGGTTGATTGTCGAAGCTTCATCTCTACTTTATGCGCCGATAGATAGATACATTTTTCAATCAATCGGGGGAGCCGCCGCTGAGTACGAAATCGAGGTGGTGAGTGATTTTTAATTTTTTTTTTTTTTTTGGTATGTTGTAATGTGATTTTTATGCTAAATGTAGTGATTTTGCTATAGAATTGTTTAGGTGAGTATTTTTATTTAGTTAGAAAATATTTTGGTTGATTGATTTTTTTTTCTTTTTTTCAAATTTGTATTGTGGTTCTTTTGGCTGAATTTTTGTTAATTTTCCAGATTAACATTTATTGGGTATCGGTGAAGGTTAATTGATGGGAAGGGGAGGGCAAAATTCTGGTAGCAGTGAGAATTTGGGTGCTAATGAGGAGGCAAAAGGGGATCATTTTGCGGCTTGGTCGAAAGATGTGAGAGAGTGTGAGGAGAAGTATGAAGTTAGGCGGGAGTATGGATTGTCGGCTGATGAAGTCGAGAAAAGGAGGCAGATCTATGGGTTGAATGAATTGGAAAAACACGAGGGGCCTTCGATTTTAAGATTGGTTCTGGACCAGTTTAATGATACGTTAGTTAGGATTTTACTGGTTGCAGCGGTGGTTTCCTTTGTCTTGGCTTGGTATGATGGGAATGAAGGTGGAGAGATGGAGATTACGGCTTTTGTGGAGCCTTTGGTTATATTCTTGATATTGATTGTGAATGCCATTGTTGGTGTTTGGCAGGAGAGCAATGCAGAGAAAGCCCTCGATGCTTTGAAGGAAATCCAGTCGGAGCATGCATCTGTTATTCGCGATGGTAAAAAGATTTCGAATTTGCCCGCGAAAGAGCTTGTTCCGGGAGATATTGTGGAGTTGAGAGTTGGGGACAAAATTCCTGCAGATATGAGGGTTTTGAGCTTGATCAGCTCGACTCTTCGGGTTGAACAGGGGTCTTTGACTGGGGAGAGTGAGGCCGTTAGTAAGACTACTAAGGCTGTTGCAGAGGATGTTGATATTCAGGGGAAGAAGTGTGTGGTGTTTGCTGGAACGACAGTGGTGAACGGGAATTGTATTTGTTTGGTAACTCAGATTGGGATGAATACAGAGATAGGGAAGGTGCATGCGCAGATTCAAGAGGCGGCAGAAAGCGAGGACGATACACCTTTGAAGAAGAAGTTGAATGAGTTTGGGGAGGCTTTAACTGCCATAATCGGAGTCATCTGCTTTTTGGTGTGGGTAATTAATGTGAAGTATTTTCTTACATGGGATATTGTCGATGGATGGCCGAGGAATTTCAAGTTCTCGTTTGAGAAGTGCACTTACTACTTTGAGATTGCTGTTGCACTGGCAGTTGCTGCTATTCCCGAAGGTTTGCCTGCAGTTATTACGACTTGCTTGGCACTTGGCACACGTAAGATGGCTGCTAAGAATGCACTTGTTCGCAAGTTGCCTAGTGTTGAAACACTTGGTTGCACAACAGTGATTTGCTCAGATAAGACTGGTACTCTGACTACGAACCAGATGGCAGTGGCTAAGCTTGTTGCTATGGGTTCCAACACAAATGCTGTTCGATCATATGACGTGCAAGGAACTTCCTATGATCCTTTTGATGGGAAGATACTGAACTGGCCTGTGGGTCAATTAGATTCTAACCTTCAAATGATTGCAAAGATTGCAGCTATTTGCAATGATGCCGATGTGGAAAAGGCTGGGCAAGATAAATCCGGACATTACGTAGCAAATGGAATGCCGACTGAGGCTGCACTTAAGGTATTAATTGGTTTTTCGTGGTCAAAATTTACAATACATATTTCCAGCAGTTTAATCAGCAATTTTGTTATTTTATATTTTTCTATATGTGCTGTTCTATATCAGTTTGTGGCATGTATATCAACGCATTATTGCTTATGGCATACCAAGTTAGGCTATTTAGTAGTTGCTGGAAATTATAGTACCTTTGCAAGTTCTTCTCAGTATCATGAACTAATAGTACCTTGATGATTTCTTGTCTGTATCATTTATGTTCCTTAGATATAACATGAACTTTTGCTTTCTTGTTACCAACTACGAAGTAACTAGAGATTCATAATTTGTGAAGGATACATGCTTGACATGATTATATTTTCAGGTTCTGGTTGAGAAAATGGGTCTTCCAAATGAACTAAGTTCTACATCCTCTTCAGGATATGATGGTGTTTTAAGTAAGTTGTCTTCTACATTACTCAAAATATTTTTGCTATGTTTAAAGTTTCTGTACTCATGTGCAATTTTTATACGGTTATCGCAGCTTGCGCCTACACATGGAATAAAATTGAACAGCGGATTGCCACCCTTGAGTTTGATCGTGATCGAAAATCCATGGGAGTGATTGTGAGTTCTAGCACTGGAAACAAGTTACTCGTTAAGGTACGGTTTGTTTCCCTTTTATTACTTCTCTGCTACTCAATACTATGAAATATTTTCAATGCTAGGGGCATTTGGTTCAGTGTCTTTCTTTTGTATTTGGATATACCTTATAAGTAGGTGCTACCTACCAATTCCCCCCCACCCCCACCGAAAAAAAAAAAGGATATAGGTTTTTTTTGTTGTTTAATTTTGATACGAACTTCCTTGCGTATTATTTCAGAAATTAGGCAATGTGTGTATTATTGACTTAATTCCGCTTTGCACCCTTGAAATGGACCATTTTACCACTTTGCACCCTTGAAAAACAATAATAGCACTTTGTACCCTCAAAACACTATTAAATCATTCACAATGCACCCCTTAATT